GATATTCAAGTAAAGAAAAGTTTAAAATACAAGATAAGGGGTAGAAATTACTTGCGTGGAATCGCGGAAGGGGAAGTTGCGGCGGCAATGGGGTCGCTCTGCTCATTGCGCTGTTAGATTTGCTTACAAGATTAGGTGTGTTGCTCTTGCTTGCTGAATTAGGGGTTACTGGGTTAGAGATAGGCTTCTGGACTTGCTCAGTAAATTAGATACGGAGTATGAGTTGATGACATGATTGAGTTGATTCAGATATACCATATAGGCCCATTATTTGATTACCAAGTAAAATGTAGTTTTAGATTTTCATTTTTTTAGAATTTTATTAAGTAAAATTTGGGTTTTTTTATTCAAAAAAGTTGATACGGGTATCCGTTAGGATACGAGTATCGAAAACTTTCAAAAAATTACAAAAAAATGGAAACTTTTAAAAATTACAGATACGGCCCGGGAACGTACGGTACGGGTATCCTAGAGTATCGGATATGGGAACGTATCCTATACGCCGATACGCTACCCTAGGGAAGTATCCGTGCTTCATAGGGTGTAACTATAAAATGATTAGAAAATAGTTTCAGTTATGGCGTTAATATTATTGTTAAAATATGATAATTGATAATATGATATTGATATTTTGCTCATGTTTCATGTTTGGGGAAAATGTAGTAAGTAGTACTATTTTTTAGTTTGAGATTGTTTATTACTGCTGCTCTGCGGTGGGTCCGGATCATAACGGAGAGCATGAATTTTGATGAAACCTAAAATTTGCCATAAATATCAATGCGTACATGCATTAGGCAAGTTGAAAAGGTAATCTAAACAGAGTCCACCAAAATTGGGGCTCCAATTTTTTTAATACTAATATTACAATATAGTTTTTTTCCGTAAAAGAGTGGCTTTATATTAAAAACGAGAATGTATACAATACAATCTTTGGACAGATTTTACAGATCTATTTGTGAACCCTAAAAATAGACATAAAGTTAGTTTTTTCATACAAAGCAATCTGGCTCGCTGAACCTGAAACAGGCAAAATAAAGCCTAAAACGAACCGATCTGAAACCCTGTCTATCAAAAGAACTCCAAAAATCCAAACCAAATCTACTCGGACTAAAACAGAAATAAGTACTACTAAAGAGAAAATAATATTGAAATAAAATCTTTCCACAAATTTTTTCTTGTTATGGAGGTCATTCTGGAGGAGAACGAGCTCTTCTAATATGAGTGAATACCAACTCCACCACCATCGGAGCGGCCAACCAAGGCTTCACGATCCAGCACCGATACAAACTCCCAACCGCAACTCGTACATATGCGAGCGCTATCTTCTCCTCCAATGCAGTTGCAATCCCATGCGTTAGAACAATTAAAATCAGTATAATCTGCCACTCCAGCCCCATATTGATAGGGGTGGAGGAAAATCTCAACCCCTACAAAGAGTGGAGACGGGTGCTAGGGTTAGAGAGGGAGAGACTCTCCACTACTTTGACACGAGTATCAAGATTTTTTGTATATTATTATTTTCTCCATTCTTAAATAAGTTAGTATTATACTCCGTAATATAGTTGTATTATACATAGTATAATATTAATAGGCATTTATTTTAAATCATGTTTTTTCTATATAACATTTGAACACAATTAAATTTGTTCAATTATGTGAGTTTTGTTATCATATTTGATTTTTTATTCATATATGGGACCTCAATCCTGCATTTGGAACCGGGGCTTTCAAATCCATTAGACGGATATATATCAACTTTTATGTCGAATATTAAGTTTAGGGAGATTCTAAATACAACCCTCTTTTTACTAAACAACGCCGATTAATTAAATAATACGTAGTAATAAATATAAATATAAATAACTAATTACCTAAACTACCCTTCCTCAAGGTAAAAAGGATCCAAGCCAGAACAAAGTCAAGAAACCTCATACGGAGTACATTTTATTTACGAAGCACACCCCCAGTCCGACTGGCAACGCCACACTGCAAGACTTACCGAAGGGCAATGCCACACGACAGCAGGCAGCACCTCTAGTCCGACTGGTCGGACTTCGCAGGGCGTCGCACACCCCCAGTCTGTCGAAGCATCACAAGAGTCAGAATCTTGAGCCAGCGACAACCGACAGGACGAAATGCCGGATTTTGTTGTAAGGCGTAGCGGACTACAAAGACTAGAAAGGCGCTCGACTGGATTGATGGAGGCGGAGGGTTATCGGCAGCTTCTAGGATTAATCGGAGGCCCTCCATTTACAAAAAAGGATGATACCCCACACCTGAGGGCCCCCAACATCAATTAGACGGTACGTTGGAGGATGTAAATTGGACTATAATCACAATATGACAGACAGATAGTGAGGCCCTGTCCCCGGTACTTGCAGAGGCCTTATGCATTTTTTAGCATAGTAACCTCCCATTCCAGTTGCCAGGATTAAAACTCTTATCAGCTGAACTAAGCCCACCAGTTGGAGGCCCTCCATTTACGTGACGCTTAATAGGGAGAAAGATTTTGCCACTAAAAACCTAGATAATAGGGGACCATTTTGTAACACCGCCCCCAAGTATTTGTACTTTATCAAATTATGTATTGAACCTTGAGAAATGAATAAAAGCATTTTTACGTGATTGTAAATTTTTATCATTTCTTTTACGTGAATAGTAAAATTCACGTGGGGCCCACATCGGAAGTGGGGCCACCAGGTACTTTCGGGACCACATATTATATTAATCTTAGCCTAGATAATATGTATATGGTGGTGTATATCCTAATTAGGCCATGGCAATGGCATAGGGTTGACCGGTTGGTCAAACGGGGCCCAATTATCAGTATCGGCAATTTATCAGATAACAGCCCGAAAAGGGATTCCAGAGACTTCTAAATTAAATTTTAGGAATACATACTCCTTCTAAGGTCCAATAAGGATTTAGAGCACGAGTTGTATTTTATTTGACCCGATAAAATAAAATATAATCAAAGCAGTCCGGAAAATACGACTTTCGGGACCAAGTGTACACTTGGGACATAAAGGGATGACCTCCCACATGAGTGAGGGCCACCCAACGAATTTGGTGCTGCAAAGGTCAAGGGGAGCCGCTCAATAGTAGGAGGGAGAGACAAACATGAACTGATTGGAGAACAAGCAAATAAATGGAGTGGACCATCTCTTAACAAGATTGTGAGAAATGCCAAATATGCATTCTCAATCATCAACCTAACCCTCCAGCTCGGCCAACCCATCCATTTTTGAGATAGAAGCTCTGAAAATACTTCACAACATCCACCATTCACGCACTTGAGCTAAGAAGGAAGAAGGAGGGGAAAAGAGAAGAGAAAAGTTGGCTTTGGAAAGGAAAAACTTGAGGTGCTCAAGGTAATGACTCCATTAATCCCATTCCTTTTTCTTCTATCATTTTATATGGTTATCCAGTCATATTTCACACCCGAGGATTGTTCTACATGCTTGAAAGTGTAGAATGAGGGCTTGGAAGGTTGTCCTTAGTCCAAGAGCGGACTTAGAAGCCAAAGTGGCCGGTTCACCGGAAAATAACCTTTTGTAGGGTTATTCGTATTAATATGGTTTTATGATGATAAAAACCTTATTAGTAACTTGTCTAAGGTATTTAAGGAACTTTCACGGAGTTGAAAGGGTCACCGGAATTGTCGCCGGAGTTCGTCGAAGTTCGCCGGAGTTTCGCCGGAGCTCAATAAGGAAGGCTAGAACTTCATAAGCTTCATTTAAGGTGAGAAGACGGCTTTATGTTTAATAACTTTTGCGTGAGGCATGAGATTACCTAAATTAATCAAGAATATGTTTTATGGATTGATTAATGATATTAAAGTATGTGTTATGCTATGTTAAAGAATATAACATAGTTAGAAAGCATGATTTATAGGTTTGATTGGTGAAATTACCATAAATTGATATGTATGATGTTCCAAGGACCGAAACAGGTATTTTTGGATTAAGGACGTCAAAGAGTACTTGCATGTAAAATTTCACGTTAATCGGACTCCGTTTGGGTGGTCAAACGGGCGTTGACCGCCAAGTCAACTGGTATACCCGACCGGGTTTTAGCAAATACCCGACCAGGTATTTGCTGAAAAACTTACCCCAGGGGCTACTGTCTTCTATACTCGATCGAGTATGGGTAGGGACTCGATCGAGTATACACCAAAAATTGGCCTTACGGGCTACTGTCTCCTGTACTCGACTGAGTATAGGTCAATACTCGATCGAGTATTGAGTTATGATTAAAACGGACAGTTTTGAGTAGGTTAATGTGGGTCGTTCAGGCGGGACCCGCCCACGTTGGTTCCTAAGGATGGTTATATGACTATAGGGCTAGGTATTGTCCATAGTTAAAGGAATGAAAGGTTAGTCATATCCAGGTTAGGGTTTGGTATGGAATAAGTTTGGGGTTGAGTATCCCCGGGATGGTAAATGATCCTGAAACTCGGTTGGGGTTGAGCATCCCCGTGACTGTAAATGATCCTGAAACTCGGTTGGGGTTGAGTATTCCCAGGGCTGTAAATGATCCTGAAACTCGGTTGGGGTTGAGTATCCCCGGGACTGTAAATGATCCTGAAACTCGGTTGGGGTTGAGTATCCCCGGGACGGTAAATAATCCTGAAACTCGGTTGGGGTTGACTATCCCCGGGATGCTAAATGCTCCCAAAACTCGGTAGGATATTATGAATGTAGAATGTAGCTTGTGAGCTAGGCATTCGGGTAAGGAGTGAGAAAAGTCAGTTAAGAACTTTATCTCTAAAAGACTCTTTAAATGAAATGACCTACGGGTTGAGTATTTTACAAATATATATACAGTATGTATCATCGGGTGGATGAGTCACACACACACACACACACACATACATACATACATATATATATATATATATATATATATATATATATATATATATATATATATATATATATATATATATATATATATATATATATATATGTATGTATGTATGTATCACCCTATTTTTGGGTCTCGTGTCTGAAACATTAGTTATTCTTCATATAGTCTGCTTGTCATTAGTACTTCTATGGAGTACTGACCCCTCCGGGGGGCCCTCACATTTTCAGGTTAAGGCTAGAGTCCTACTACCTGCACAATTGCCTAAGGTGATTGATCAAGAAGGAAGACGTGGTTCGTGCTTCCATTCTTATTTCAAATTTTAAAACTGCTCATGGATTTTCGAACATTGTCTTCTTTAAAACAGTTGGGGGCCTGCGTGCCTGTGTTTGCCACGTGTGGCTAAGTATCAAACATATTATTCTTTCCGCATTTGTTTGATTATGATATCGATGTTGATTGTATGTGTTTACTAATCGGTTTGGCAATAGAATCAATCGGACCCCTTGTATAATTCAATAGGGATGAACTGTTGTTATTCTTATCGGGTTGTACGACGGTTGTCTACGTGGCCCGGATGCGGTCTGGGGCGTGACAATTAAGTGGTATCAGAGCCATCGATTTCTAAACTATATAATTAACCTTTCAATATCTTACCATCGAAAAGTTTTGAACAAAACCATGAGCAGAAAGTTTTTGTACCTAAGGAACCGTTGGAAACCAAGTTATTGACCTCTTATTGTTAAGACGGTACCCTTAACAGTTTGTTGGCCATAATGTTGGACCAAGTGGTATCTTTTGTACTAATCCGTCAATTGACATTGAAACGAGTCTAATGACTCATTCCTCATTTCTTTAAGAAATGGAGGGTGGACGCAGGATTACTAGGAGGAACCCGACGGGTCGTGCACCGGGGGCCACCGGGCACGATACACGGGCTGAATCACGGACCTCGAAGGGTAGAGGCCAGGTCCAAGGCCGTGGAGGAGGCCGAGGCAGGGGCCGACGGCAAGTAGCACGCGTGTCGGTTCTGTGCACCCGTCTTGGGCCACCGAACCGGATGACTTCACTTATGCTCCAAGCACGGAGCAAGAGGAGACCCCGTACAACGGGGAGGACTTTGATGAAGAAGATGAGGATGAAGATCCTCATTATGATTGTATGAGCGAGGTACTAGAATGGTACCTCGAGAACAAGGCAAAGAGAGAACAGTGGCGCCAAGCTAGACAGGCTAGGCTAGCCATGGGGCAGGGAAGCCGAGGTGCTTCTAGTGCTCTATCTGGAGCGTCCACGGGAAACACGATGGTACGTATGTCCAAGTACCTCAAGGAGGCGAGGGCCTTGGGGTGCAAGTCATTTGATGGCAAGGGCGACATATCTGAGGCCGCCGACTGGATTAAGAAGCTGAATGATGCTTCTAGGGACATGCAAATTGGACTCGACGTGAAGTTGAGGGTTGCCACCAGGCTACTAGAAGGGGTAGCTGCTGTATGGTGGGAAGGCGTGGAAGGAAAGTTCCACGGTGAGGCCACTTGGGAGAAATTCGAAGTGGAGTTCTATAATCAGTACCACTCAACTTTTGAAGTCAATCTCAAAAGGAGAGAGTACACAAATCTGAAACGGGAGGATGGCTGCTCGGTGAGGCAATTGGAACAAAGGTTCCGAGACTTGGCACGATTCATACCAGAGTACTCTTTGGATGAGAATCGAATGGCCAATCATTTTTGGGATGCTCTACAATTGGACATCCGCGACCGGGCTACTTATCAGCATAACATGACATTTAGTCAAGTTGTCGATCAAGGACTCCTTGGGGAAACCCAATGGAATGAAAGAAAGCGAGAGACGCCGAGGAGGCGAAGAAGAGGAGATGGGGAAACTCTGGACCACAAGACCACTCTTGGAAGCATCACGCCGGAGGTGGCAATACATTCAGGGCGCTGGCACCACCGCCGAAAAGGTATAAGGGCTGACTAGGGAAAGGGCCCAAACCAGGGGGTGTGGGGCCACCAAGGTGCGCAAACTGCGGTAAGAACCACGGGGGGAGGTGCAATGAACCACCCCGGACATTCAGAGCAGTACGTTTTGATGTTTCTAGCCATACCCGACCGGGTATGGGAATATACTCGACCGGGTATAGATAATTTGTTGGGGTTCGAGGCCGGTACTCGACCGAGCAAGGAAAACAGAAGGTTTTTCCTTAAGGACTCGAGTAATACCCGACCGGGTATAGGGCAGTTCCAGGCTGAGATTTTTTTTCATTTAATCCTTTTTTAGTCGGGATGTTGGGTAGTGTGCCTTACATGACTTATATATGTAGGAACACTAAAGATCAATGGTAGACATGCGAGAATTCTCATCGACACCGGGGCGCAACGTTCATTTATGAGCGAAGCGTTTGTCGAGGGATTAGACATGCCATTAAAAGCAATGACGCAACCCTTGTTGGTCTCTACACCGTTGGGAGACGATGTGGAGAGAAAACACTACTATCCTTCATGTAATGTGGAGATAGGGGAGCACCGTCTAATGGGTGACTTTGTACCGTTAGGCATGCTCGAGTTCGATGCTATATTAGGCATGGATTGGCTTGAGAAACACCATGCAAAAGTAGATTGCTACATCAAGGTGTTAGAACTGAAGGATGGTGAGGGGAATACTCTATGCTTTGAGGGAGAAAGAGGGAAATTCAACCCTTGTATCATATCGGCCATAAGAGCAAGGCGTATGATGAGGAAAGGGTGTCGGGCTTACATAGCTTACGTCGTAGGCAAGGAAGGCAAGGGGAAGAGTTTCACAGAGGTGAGAGTGGTGAGTGAGTATCCAGAGGTTTTTCCTGAAGAACTCCCGGGACTCCCACCAGATCGAGAAATTGAGTTCACCATTGAAGTAGAACCCGACACAAAACCCATCTCGATTCCTCCATATCGGATGGCACCGGCTGAACTTCAACAGTTGAAGGTTCAATTAGAAGAATTAATGGATAGCGGATTAATTAGGCCGAGTCATTCACCATGGGGAGCACCGGTACTCTTTGTAAAGAAGAAAGATGGTACACTTAGAATGTGTATCGATTACCGTCAGTTGAACAAGGTCACGATAAAGAACAAATACCCTTTGCCAAGGATTGATGACTTGTTTGATCAACTACGGGGGGAAACCGTGTTCTCTAAGATCGACTTGAGGTCAGGCTACCATCAACTGAAGATCAAGGAGAGTGACATACCCAAAAGTGCATTCCGTACAAGGTATGGTCACTATGAATTTTTAGTAATGTCGTTTGGGCTTACGAACGCCCCCGCAGCATTCATGGACCTCATGAACCGAGTATTTCACCAATACTTGAACCAGTTCGTCATAGTATTCATAGATGACATCTTGATATACTCCACGAATGAGGAAGAACACGAGAGACATCTAAGGCTTGTGCTTGAAACACTGCGAGAGAAACAACTCTTTGCCAAATTCTCTAAATGTGAATTTTGGCTTAGGGAGATCGGTTTTCTCGGGCATGTGGTATCGGGCTCGGGCATTTCAGTTGATAACTCAAAGATTGAAGCAGTCACTAATTGGGAGAGGCCCAAGAACGTGAATGAGATAAGGAGTTTTCTCGATTTAGCGGGGTATTACCGCAAATTTGTGGAGAAGTTCACGATGATAGCATCTCCACTCACGAAGCTCACTAAAAAGGGGGCTAAGTTTGTGTGGGATGACAAGTGTGAGAGGGGGTTTCTTGAGCTAAAGAAACGTTTGACTGAAGCTCCAGTGCTCGCCCTACCCGTGCAAGGGTTAGGGTATGACATCTATAGTGATGTTAGCATTCAGGGACTGGGATGTGTACTGATGCAATCGGGGAAGGTAATTGCTTATGCTTCTCGGCAGTTGAGAAAGCATGAAGTAAACTACCCCACACACGATCTGGAGCTAGGTGTTGTGGTGTTTGCATTGAAGATTTGGAGGCACTACCTCTACGGAGAGTTGTGTCACATCTATACTGACCACAAGAGCTTGAAGTATGTGTTCACTCAGAAAGAGTTGAACATGAGACAGAGAAGATGGATGGAGTTGATCTAGGATTACAACTTGATCATTGACTATCATCCAGGCAAGGCTAATGTAGTAGCCGATGCACTGAGTAGGAAGGGCTCATCTTCAGGGGTTTTACTCACATGCTTACGGGCATTGAGGGCACGCGTGGAGGTATCCACGGACGGGGTGTTATTGGCCAGATTTGAGGTGAGACCCACCTTGTTAGACGAAATCAGGACATGTCAAGGCAATGACGTGGAATTTCAAAAAATCCGGGAACAGATGCTTGTGGGGCCTGTCGAGGGTTTCCGTGAGAGAGAAGATGGACTTCTACTATTCAAGGAACGGGTGTGTGTGCCATCAGATGGGGAGTTTCGTAAATCAATTCTTGAGGAGGCTCACTCATCTGCGTATGCCATGCACCCAGGCGGTACAAAGATGTATCGGGACTTAAAAGAAAGTTACTGGTGGTCGGGGATGAAGAGAGAGATTGCAGAATACGTGAGGCGTTGCCTCACCTGTCAACAGGTTAAGGCAGAGCACCAACACCCAGCAGGGTTGTTACAACCATTTACCATTCCAGAATGGAAGTGGGAGCATGTTACCATGGACTTCGTGGTGGGTCTGCCACGGACGGTTAGGAACTACGACGCAGTATGAGTGGTGGTTGACAGGCTGACCAAGAGTGCTCATTTTTTACCTATCAACGCTACCTATACGCTCGAGCGACTGTCCAAATTATACACAGATGAGATTGTGAGACTTTATGGGGTTCCGGTTACTATAGTATCAGATAGAGACTCACGGTTCACATCACGGTTTTGGCCTAAGTTCCAGGAATCCATGGGTACGAAATTGAGGTTTAGCACCGCATTTCATCCTCAAACGATGGGCAATATGAACGGGTGATTCAGATTTTGGAAGACATGTTGAGGGCATGTGCATTGGAGTTCCAGGGAAGCTGGGACAATCAGTTGGCTTTAGTGGAATTCCCCTATAACAACAGTTATCAGGCGAGTATAGGCATGCCTCCATACGAAGCATTGTATGGGAGGAAATGCCGGACACCATTGTGTTGGGACGAGGTCGGCGAGGCTAAGCTCGAGGGCACCAAGCTAGTCGAGATCACTAAAGAGAAGATAAAAGTCAGACATGATAGGCTCAAGGCTGCCCAAGACCGGAAGAAGAGCTATGTTGATAAACGTCGGAGGACGTTGGAGTTTGAGGTCGGTGACGAGGTATTTCTGAGGGTATCACCTTGGAAAGGGATCATCAGGTTCCTCAGTCGGGGTAAGCTTAACCCACATTACATAGGTCCGTTCAAAATCCTTGAAATGATTGGGGTTGTAGCCTACCGACTTCAGTTGACTCCAGAGTTAGAGAAGATTCATAATGTGTTTCATGTTTCTATGCTCAAGAAGTATGTGCGGGACCCGTCACATATTCTTGAGAAACCACCGGTGGAAATCCGAGAAGACCTACACTATACGGTGCAGCCGGTGAAAATCATAGACCGACAGGTAAAGAAGCTAAGGAGCAAAGAGGTGCCGATGGTAAAAGTACTTTGGAAGAGTGATCGTGTCGAGGAGCAAACTTGGGAAGTGGAGACCCTGATGAGGGAACAATATCCATTTCTGTTTGACTAGACGCGTGGATTTCGGGGACGAAATCCCAAATAAGGGGAGTAGAACTTGTAACACCGCCCCCAAGTATTTGTATTTTATCAAATTATCTATTGAACCCTGAGAAATGAATAAAAGCATTTTTACGTGATTGTAAATTTTTATCATTTCTTTTACGTGAATAGTAAAATTCACGTGGGGCCCACATCGGAAGTGGGGGCCGCCCGGTACTGTCGGGACCACATATTATATTAATCTTGGCCTAGATAATATGTATATGGTGGCGGATATCCTAATTGGGCCATGGCAATGGCATAGGGTTGACCGGTTGGTCAAACGGGGTCCAATTATCAGTATCGGCAATTTATCAGATAACAGCCCGAAAAGGGATTCCGGAGACTTCTAAATTAAAGTTTAGGAATACATACTCCTTCTAAGGTCCAGTAAGGATTTAGAGCACGAGTTGTATTTTATTTGACCCGATAAAATAAAATATAATCAAAGCAATCCGGAAAATATGACTTTCGGGACCAAGTGTACACTTGGGGACATAAAGGGATGACCTCCCACATGAGTGGGGGCCACCCCACGAATTTGGTGCTGCAAAGGTCAAGGGGAGCCGCTCAATAGTAGGGGGGAGAGACAAACATGAACTGATTGGAGACCAAGCAAATAAATGGAGTGGACCCTCTCTTAACATGATTGTGAGAAATGCCAAATATGCATCTCAATTATCAACCTAACCCTCCAGCTCGGCCAACCCATCCATTTTTGAGATCGAAGCTCTGAAAATACTTCACAACATCCACCATTCACGCACCTGAGCTAAGGAGGAAGAAGGAGGGGAAAAGAGAAGAGAAAAGTTGGCTTTGGAAAGGAAAAACTTGAGGTGCTCAAGGTAATGACTCCATTAATCCCATTCCTTGTTCTTCAATCATTTTATATGGTTATCCAGTCATATTTCATACCCTAGGATTGTTCTACATGCTTGGAAGTGTAGAATGAAAGGTTGGAAGGTAGTCCTGAGTCCAAGAACGGACTTAGAAGCCAAAGTGACCGATTCACCGGAAAATAACCTTTTTGAGGTTATTCGTATTAATATGGATTTTATGATGATAAAAACCTTGTTAGTAACTTGTCTAAGGTATTCAAAGAACTTTCACGGAGTTGAAAGGGTCAACGGAATTGTCGCCGGAGTTTCGCCGGAGCTCAATAAGGAAGGCTAGAACTTTATAAGCTTCATTTAAGGTGAGAAGACGGCTTTATGCTTTATAACTTTTGCGTGAGACATGAGATTACCTAAATTAATCAAGAATATGTTTTATGGATTGATTAATGGTATTAAAGTATGTGTTATGCTATGTTAAAGAATATAACATAGTTAGAAAGCATGATTTATAGGTTTGATTGGTGAAATTACCATAAATTGATATGTATGATGTTCTAAGGACCCAAACAGGTATTTTTGGATTAAGGACGTCAAAGAGTACTTGCATGTAAAATTTCACTTTAATCGGACTCCGTTTGGGCGGTCAAACGGGCGTTGACCGCCAAGTCAACTGCTATACCCGACCGGGTATTAGCAAATACCCAACCGAGTATTTGGTGAAAAACTTGCCCCAGGGGCTACTGTCTTCTATACCCGATCGAGTATGGGTAGGGACTCGATTGAGTATACACCAAAAATTGGCCTTACGGGCTACTGTCTCCTGTACTCGACTGAGTATAGGTCAATACTCGATCGAGTATTGAGTTATGATTAAAACGGGCAGTTTTGAGTAGGTTAATGTGGGCCGTTCAGGAGGGACCCGCCCACGTTGGTTCCTAAGGATGGTTATATGACTATAGGGCTAGGTATTGTCCATAGTTAAAGGAATGAAAGGTTAGCCATATCCAGGTTAGGGTTTGGTAAGGAATAAGTTTGGGGTTGAGTATCCCCGGGATGGTAAATGATCCTGAAACTCGGTTGGGGTTGAGCATCCCCGTGACTGTAAATGATCCTGAAACTCGGTTGGGGTTGAGTATTCCCGGGACTGTAAATGATTCTGAAACTCGGTTGGGGTTGAGTATCCCCGGGACTGTAAATGATCCTGAAACTCGGTTGAGGTTGAGTATCCCCGGGATGGTAAATGATCCTGAAACTCGGTTGGGGTTGAGCATCCCCGTGACTGTAAATGATCCTGAAACTCGGTTGGGGTTGAGTATTCCCGGGACTGTAAATGATCCTGAAACTCGGTTGGGGTTGAGTATCCCCGGCACTGTAAATGATCCTGAAACTCGGTTGGGGTTGAGTATCCCCGGGATGGTAAATGATCCTGAAACTCGGTTGGGGTTGAGCATCCCCGTGACTGTAAATGATCCTGAAACTCGGTTGGGGTTGAGTATTCCCGGGACTGTAAATGATCCTGAAACTCGGTTGGGGTTGAGTATCCCCGGGACTGTAAATGATCCTGAAACTCGGTTGGGGTTGAGTATCCCCGGGACGGTAAATGATCCTGAAACTCGGTCGGGGTTGAGTATCCCCGGGATGCTAAATGCTCCCAAAACTCGGTAGGATATTATGAATGTACAATGTAGCTTGTGAGCTAAGCATTCGGGTAAGGAGTGAGAAAAGTCAGGTAAGAACTTTATCTCTAAAAGACTCTTTAAATGAAATGACCTACGAGTTGAGTATTTTACAAATATATATACAGTATGTATCATCGGGTGGATGAGTCACACACACACACACACATATATATATATATATAGGGTGATATATGTATGTATGTATCACCCTATTTTTGTGTGTGTGTATCACCCTATATATATATATATATATATATATATATATATATATATATATATATATATGTATGTATGTATGTATGTATGTATGTATCACCCTATTTTTGGGTCTCGTGTCTGAAACATTAGTTATTCTTCATATAGCCTGCTTGTCACTAGTACTTCTATGGAGTAGACCCCTCCGGGGGGGCCTCACATTTTTCAGGTTAAGGCTAGAGTCCTACTACCTGCACCTTTGCCTAGGGTGATTGATCAAGAAGGAAGACGTGGTTCGTGCTTCCATTCTTATTTCAAATTTATAAACTGCTCAGGATTTTCGAACATTGTCTTCTTTAAAACAGTTGGGGGCCTGCGTGCCCGTGTTTGCCACGTGTGGCTAAGTATCAAACATATTATTCTTTCCACATTTGTTTGATTATGATATCGATGCTGATTGTATGTGTTTACTAATCGTTTTGGCAATAGAATCAATCGGACGTCTTGTACAATTCAATAGGGATGAACTGTTGTTATTCTTATCAGGTTGTACGGCGGTTGTCTACGTGGCCCGGATGCGGTCTGGGGCGTGACAACTTTAATCCAAAGTTGGCTCAAACCGCTGCCAATTTCTTCGATTCAAAGGTTTCAGAGTGTCAATTGCAGCAAGAACAATTATGGTTGTGTTATGAACTAAGAAAGGAAGATAGAGACTTCCATAACCATCGTGAGAAAATCAAAGAATAGAGAGGAAGAAGAAAGGAAAGTTCTATATTAGCTCATCGATGCTGTTTACAATCGTTATAGCCTATTTTATACACGCTCAACGACCAATAGTCTAACTAACATTCTGTTAGACTTACAATTGGGCTATAACTAACTGTAAATGTAAAAACTAAACAACCAGCCCAACAATACTATTTAGGCCCAAATATGAAAGAATGAAGGCTTTATTTTAACTTTGCCCCTTCTTTCTCTAAAGCTTGTCCACAAGCTTTAATTTCTGGAAATTGCTTGATGATAACATCATAATCCTCCCAGGTGGCGTCATCCTGCTGTAAATGCTCCCACTTGATTAGCCATTGTACTACTGTAGCATTGTTCCTTTTGACTATTCTTCTAGCCAAAACTGCAGCGGGTACTAGGATTATATTTCCTTCCTCAGTCATAGTTGGAAACTTGCTAGCCACAATGTCACTCATTCCCACTCTTTTCTTCAAAAGTGACACATGAAACACGAGATGAACCTTGCTTCCTTCTGGCAGTGCTAGCTTATAGGCCACAACTCCTATTTTTTCTACTACTGGAAAAGGTCCACAATACTTGGGACTTAACTTCCAAATAGGAGACTTCCTCATACTCATTTGCCTATAAGGTTTCAGTTTCAAATAAACCCAATCCCCTACTGCAAACTCTCTTTCCATCCTCCCTTTGTCAGCTCTTTCCTTCATCCTCTGCTTAGAAAGAGTAAAATAATACTTCAGTTTTTCTGAAATAATCTGCCTTTGCTGTAGGTCATGCTCTACTCCCACTACTGTCAATTCACCATAAGGACCCATGTTTAGAGTAGGAGGTTTATAACCAAAAAGAGCCTCAAAAGGACTCATTCCAATGGCAGCATGATAGCAACTATTGTAGCTCATTCCAATTACTCCATTCTTTAGGAAATTATCCACGCATGCACCTGAGGTAGTTTTCCAAGCATTGATTTACCCTCTCAGTTTGTCCATCCGTTTGAGGATGATAGGATGTACTTAACTGATGTTTAACACCCAAAGCTTTGAAGAGCTCAGTCCAGAATAGGCTAGTGGAAATTTATCCCTGTCAGATGTTATAGATTCTGGCAACCCATGAAATTTGCAGATGTCATTGATAAAGATATTTGCTATTTTGGGGGCAGTGAAAGGATGGACTACTGGTACAAAATGAGCATATTTGGTGTACCTATTCACTACTACCAAAATAGCCTCATTCCCATTAGACTTAGGCAATTGCTCAATAAAGTCCATAGTAATGTGCTGCCAGGCCTTTTGAGGAACTGGTAATGGTTGCAATAAACCTGGGTACTTGGAGTTTTCATGCTTGCATATCTGGCAAATAGGGCAATTCCTGATCAACTGTTGCACTGTTTGCTTCATATTTGGCCACAAAAAATGGTCATTTGTCTGTGTAAAGTAGCCAACTCTCCTGAATGTCCTCCCACTGCACTCTCATGTATGGTTGTTACCATTTTCTTCCTTAATTCCCCTGATGTGCCCACATACAACTTATTCTTGTACCTCAACATCCCATTATGGTAGGAAAAATAACTCATGTTATATGGTGCTACCAAATTCTGTAGTACAGTTTCTTCATCTATCTTATCTCCTTGATAGCTCATTATCAATTCCTCCTGCCATAGGGGTCTAACTGCAGATATAACTTGGCAATTTTCCTCTACCTCCTCTTCTGTGATATCCCTCCTCGATAATGCATCTGCTACTTTGTTCTCATGCCCCTTTTTATACTCAATCCTATAATCATAACCCAACAGTTTGGTCAAGTACTTATGTTGAGTTGGGGTTGAGACTCTCTGATCCATCAAAAACTTAAGGCTTATCTGATCAGTTCTGATCACAAAAGGAGCATGTAGCAAGTAAGCTCTCCATTTTTCAATAGCTAATACAACAGCTAAAAACTCTTTCTCATAAATGGATAATCCCATGTTCTTGGGCCCAAATGCTTTGCTGATAAAAGCCAAAGGATGATGATCCTGTAACAACACTGCACCTATACCTTCATAGCATGCATCTGTCTCCACAATGAAGGTTTTATTGAAATTGGGCAACTGTAATATAGGTACCTGGAACATGGCTTTCTTCGGTCCCTCAAATGCTTCTTGAGCCTCTTTGTTCCACTTAAACATCCCCTTCCTTGTTAAGTCAGTCGAAGGTTTAGCTTTCTGACCATATTGGGAACAAAACTTTCTAAAATAGCCAGTCATTCCCAAAAAACCTCTGAGTGCTTTGAGAGAAGAAGGAACTGGCCATTCCACAATACACTTGATCTTTTCTGGATCCACGAACACTCCTTTTGCACTAATTATATTCCCCAGATACTCTATTTGTGGAACCCCAAAAACACATTTGGATTTTTTGGCAAAAAGAGTTTGTAGCGTAATCAGTTCAAAAACTTGCTTCAAATGTATTTTATGCATCTCAGGGATGCTGCTATAGATCATTATGTCATCAAAGAAAACCAACACAAACTTTCCCGAATATTCCTTGAATATGTTGTTCATGAGATTTTGGAAAGTAGTAGGAGCATTGGTCAATCCAAATGGCATAACAGTGAACTCATATAATCCACTGCCAGTGACAAAAGCTGTTTTCTCAATGTCTTCTGGCCTCATTCTTACTTAGTGATAGCCTGCTCTTAGATCTATTTTAGAAAAAATGACAGCCCCATGTAACTCATCTAATAGATCATCTATAAGGGGAATAAGATAGTTATTCTTTATGGTAATTGAGTTTAGCTTTCTGTAATAAACATAGAACCTCCAGGATCCATCTTTCTTCTTTACTAACAACACTGGACTGGAGTAAGGACTTTGACTTTGTTGTATAACCCCAGCTGCAAGCATTTCCTTGATCAATTTCTCTATTTCATATCTATGTATGTACTGTAAGGAATTTGCTTAAAGGGTTTTTCTCTAGCTTTGATGTCAATGTGATGCTCATGTTGTCTGATTGGGGGTAGGCCTTTAGGTTCTTGAAATACTTCCTTATATTCCTCAATCATTCCCTCTACTTTCTTCTCTATAACTGATTTCTCTTCTCCTGCCACAGATGTAACCATACAAAAGAACTTGGATACCACTCCATCTCTTTTCTACATCAACTTTCTCATTTTCTTCCCAGTCATCATTCTTACTGATACCTCAGGTTGTATGCCTTTTAATGTTACTCTTCTCCTTTATGATCAAAGGTAACAGAATGATTATCATAATCAAACATAATAGGTCCCAATTTCTTCATCAAGTCAACTCCCATTACCATATCATAACCTTCATGGGGTAAAACCCTTACACTTGCTGCAAAGCTATGTCCATCCATTTCTCATTCCAGATTGGAACATTTAGAGTTGCACTCTATCTTTCCTTCTCCTGCAACCATAACCTGTAGTGGATTGGTAATCTCTAGTTCACATTTGATCCGGTTGGCTGTGGTTGGATCTATGAAACTGTGAGTACTCCCACAATCCACTAGTATAGTTATGTTATTATTCTTTACTTTTCCTGCCAGTTTAATTGTCTCAGTAGGTACATGTCCCCTAAGAGCATGTAATGATACTCCAAAGTTTACTTCATCCCCAGTGTCATGATCCAGCAAATGCTCATTATCTTCTTTGTTATCTTCAGCCAACAGAATAACAAAGACCTTCCTGCATTTATGCCCTATAGTATATGTTTCATCACAATTAAAGCACATGCCCTTCTTTCTCCTTGCATCTAATTCCTCTTTACTCAACCTTTTTACTGGCAGAATTTTATCTCCACTATTTGCTCCTTTGAACTCAGTATTAGTCTTAGGCCAATTATTATTCTTGGATACAGATCTTCCTGTCTTCCCCACAGCTTGTAGAAGAGATTCTTGTTTTTTAGCTATCAAAAAAGCTTGTTCCAACGTTTCAGCGGTTATTTTTTTTTTTTACTCCAGGGGGTTCTGGGGGAGGAGGACTGGGGGGAGCCTGGAGTAATCGGGTCTGAAACTCACTCCATTGAGCTTCAAACGCATATGTGCCTAGCGGGATTCGAACTCGAGACCTCCCACTAGACATGGTAACTTCACAACCAGTTGGGTTGGAATGCTTAGTTAATATTTCAACCATATGCCGTATTTCATTTTTTAACCCACTAAGAAAGCTCTTCAATAAATAATATTCATCTAAGTGTCTATCCCTCTGAAGCATAA